ATCTTTATATTCTGAACAATAATACAGTGATACTTAAGAGATCTGGTTATTGGACCAATAATTAGAATAATAATAATAATAATAATAGCTAATATTTATATAGTACATAAGGTTTATAAAGCACTTTACCACTATTATCTCATTCATCTTCACAACCACCATGTCAGGAAGATGCTATTACTATCCTCATTTATATAGGTGTAAACAGGCTGAGAGAGGTTCACACAGGGTCACAAAGCTAATGTCTGAGCTGCTATTTGAACTCAAGTATTCCTGATACCTAGTCCTATGGTTTATACACTAAGCCAGGATGATCCCTAGTTAACTTTTATGTAGCACCTTAAAGTTTTCAAAAACATTGATGAACATTTTCTTATTTATGGTAGGACAGTATCTAACCAAATAACATCTAGTAGTTGTCCACTACTACGCATGATATGGGGATTCTCTTCTCTTCCTTAAAGCAATGAACTTGAACTCTGGTATTAATAATGACCATAAAACTACTCATCTTTTAAATCCAACCACAGAACTTGATTGTATGACCTTCCATGGAAGTACCTGCTACAGGTTAACTAAAGGTTATGAAGTACTATTTCCTATTCATATTCTTGATATCATTATCTTGCACTTTCAAGGATTGCTTTGTTCTACAAGGGGGTGAGTTTTCTAGTCATTGTAATTTTCAGTAACTTGACTACTAGATTGAGATATTTTTCTTTTTCATATTAAGTAACCCATGGGATTTTTTGAAAGTGCTCATCCTATAATCTCCCACCTACCTTATATCTCTAAAATGATTGGTATTTTAAAAGAACTAGAGAAAAGTCTAAGAATGTTAGATGGATCATTGATGAAAGAAAATCACAAAAAATGAAGATGAAGAAGGCAGTTAGGTGTTGCGATGGACAGAGAACTGGGCCTGGAGTCAGGAAGACCTGAGTTCAAATTTGGCTTCAGACTCTTACTAGCTGTGTGGCCATGGGCAAGTCTCTTAACCTCTATTTGTTTTAGTTTCTTCATCTGTAAAAGGGGGATAATAATAATACCTACTTCTCAGGTTTGTTGTGAGGATCAAATGATGTAATAATTGTACAGTGCTTAGCACAGTGCCTGGAACATAGTAAGCCTCATGTAAATGTTAGCTATTATTATTATTTAACAATTTGTACTGGTGTAAAGTATTCTCAGACTGATAAAAATGCATGGAAATGGAGCAGCGAATTGGTGCAGTGGATACAGCATTGGCCCTGGAGTTGGGAGGACTCAAATCTGGCCTCAGACACATAATACTTACTAGCTGTGTGACTCTGAGCAACTCACTTGCTTTACCAACCCAATTGCCTTACCAAAAAAAATGTATTGAAGTATTGATGTATGATTTCTACATTCAGTTCATTATTATTTTGATTAATAGATATATCAATAAAGCCTTGTATACTTATAAACAGGGGCTGAGTAGGGTTTTCAGAAGTTCCCAAAGTGGGCAATACTGCCCCTGGGGGGTGCTGGAACAATCCAGGGGGGTGGTAGTAGCCTTGGGTGCAATTAGGGAATGTTGAATAAAAATAAGGGGGTGGTGGAAGCATGAGGAAAGAAGAGAAGAAAATTTTGAAAAACTGTTTATATGTGTTTACTCTGTGGTATAACAGTTAAAGTTGTAGTGATTATATTATTTTCCAAATAAACACACAAAATGTAAATTATAACTTATCAGTGGTCAAGTCAGCAAACAGGTCTTAATAAGCAAGTGCTGGCAGGAGAGCATGTTGCCCATTGTCAGGAAGTCCAGCATGCACTGGCAGGCACATGTGCGTGTAATGACTTGTTTACAGTGTGATACTATATAGTTACATGATGCAATACTAAATCATCAAAATTTCAATGCTGGAAAAAACCCACAAATTTATAATAAATTATTAAATTTAAGATGCATCATTTAAAAATATTTTATATTTTTTGAAATGATGCAAATAAAAAAAGTCAAAGGGTTAAAGAAAGTAGATTTCGTCAGGGGGAGCTGAGTAATTTCTTTTAAAGGGGGCAGTAGGCCAACTAAGTTTGGGAACCTCTGGTTTAATGTAAAGCTTCTTTTCCTATTTCTAGCCAACTACATATACTAGAATCCACATACTTTTTCATCCAGAGACAGTGCTCTTCTTGCTATTCTTTGAAGAAACACTATCTTTTGACTCTGGGCATTTTCACTAGAACTCTCTTCCTCCTCATCATTGTTTCCTGGCTTCCCTGGCCTTCTTCTAAGTCTAGGATAAAGTCACATCTTCTGCAAGAAGATTTTCCTGATCCTCCTTAGCCTCTCTGATTGTTTTCATGGTATTTCCCCCATTAAGCTGAATTCCTTGAGAACAGGAGTTTTTTTTTTCTTTCTTTCTTTGTATCTTCAGCAGTCAGCACAGTGCCTGACACATAATAGGTGATAAATAAATGCTTGCTGACTTGAAAGGGCCTCAAAGATCAAGCCAAATGCCTTTATTTTTTACAGATGAAGAAACAGAGAAACCTAGAGGTCAAGTGACTTGCCCATGGCCTCACAGCTAGTGTCTGAGGCAAGCTTTGAACCTACATATTTCTGACTTCAAGTCCAATATCCTATACATTATTTTTGGTGCTTTGGAGAGGTTGAGGCAGTACTCTCATTAAGCCACTGAGTAAGAAGAACTGATGACTCAGTGGACCTTAAAAAAAAAAAGGAATGAATGTTTTAATTAGGTTAAATTCTATGAGAATTTAACAGATTTGAAAGAGGGTAGGTTTTAACCTTCATCTAGTAATTATAGGCCCTATAGCTGTATGGGACCTCTAGATCACATGATCCAATACCTTCATTTTACAGATGAAGAAACTCAGAGGAAATAACTTGGCTAAGGTCACACAGTAGTAATTAAGTAGCAGAACTAGAATTTTGCGCCATATAAATTTTAGGAATCTGATTCAACAAGGAGCTGAGATACCCAGTAGGAAGTTAATAATACAAGATTGTAGCTTAAAAGAAATCTTAGTCTGGATATGTAGTTTAGATATTGTCTGTTTAGAGGCACTAATTGAACTCATAGGAACCGATTATTTCACCTGGGGATAGAGAAGAGAAGAGAAGAGAGTCTAGATTAGAGCCTCTTCTTTATACTTTCTTTTTTTCTGGGTTTTCATGACCCTAATCTATCTTGATTCTCCTCTTACCTATCTGACCATTCCTTCTTAGTTTCCTTTGCTGGATCTTCATCCATTAGCTCCCATGGATTCAATTATCTCTGTGCTGATGATTCTCCAATCTACTTATTGAATTCTAAGCTCCCTTCTGACCACCAATCTCACATCTCCAACTGTTCATGCTTATTGGGCACCTCAAGCTGGATGTCAAAAAACAACTGTTATCTTCCCAAACCCTCTCCTTCCCTAACTTCTTTGTTATTGTTGAGGGTACTACTATTCTCTCAGTCACCTAGGCTAACAACTTTGGTGTCATCCTAGACTCTTCAATGTCTCAAAACCACTCCCCCCATCCAATCTTTTGCCAAATCCTTACAATTTTGCCTTCAGACATTTCATAACATATATATGCTTCATTTTCTCCTTTAAAACTACCATCACTAAAGTGCTGCTGGCCCTTGTCACCTCATCCTTTGACTATTGCTGCGGCTCCTTGTATGCCTGCCATGGATAGCGTGCTGATCCTGGTATCAGGAAGACTCATCTTCCTGAGTTCAAATCTGACCTTAAGGCACTTGCTAGCTGTGTAACTCTGGGTAAGTCACTTAATCCCATTTGCCTCAGTTTCCTCATCTGTAAAATGAACTGGAGAAGGCAATGGCAAAGCACTCCAGTATCTTTGTCAAGAAAACCCCAAACAGGGTCACAAAGAGTTGGACACAACTGAAAAAACATGAACAACAACTTCCTGCCTCAAGCGTCTCCCTACTCCACTTTATCCTCCATTCAGCTGTCAAAGTGATCTTTCTAAAGCACAGATGTAACCATGTCACCCTCTCCCCCCACCCTCCATTCAATAAATTCCTGTGGCTCCTTGTTATCTCCAGAATCAAATATAAAATTCTTTGGTGTTCAAAGCCCTTCAAAATGTGTTCCCTGCTCCCTTTTTAGTCTTCTTATACTATGCCTCCACCTCTACACACACACACACACACACACACACACACCACACACACACACACACACACACACACATGCAGTCTTTGATCTAATGACACTGGCCTCTTTGCTGTTCCTTGCAGAAGATGTTCCATTTTCCGACTCTCAGCATTTTTACTGACTGCTCACTGTGCCTAGAACTCTCTTTCTTCTCATTTCTTCCTCCTGGCTTCCTTCTTTTCCCCAGTCCTCTTAATGTTAGTACCTTCTCCCCCTTAATTATCTCCAATTTATCCTGTGTACATCCTGTTTGTACATTGTCATTCATATGTTGTTACCCCATTGGACCATAAGTTCCTTGAGCATAGACACTGTTTTTTGTCTTTCTTTGTTTCTTCAGCACTTAGCACAAATGATATGCTTGACTCATTTGTTCTTAACAAATATTTATTGATTGACTATTGTGGAATTTCCAGGTTGGGAGGTCCAGGCCTGAAAGGCTTTCCTCATCTAGTCTTTCTTATGTATAGTCTTTCCTGATCTCCTTACATGACAATACTCTCTTTCATCTAATTATCTTATGTTTTCTTATCTATTTACCTATCACAAACTCTAAGAATGTAAGTTTTTTGAGGGCAGTGATTTCATTTCTATATTTTCAGGACCTAGCACATAACCAGTGCTTAATAAAAGATGATTATTTGTTTATTTTTACCACTCTTTTTTCCCCACTCAGTCCTATGCTTACTTGCTTTGTTACTTTATAGTTTCGTAAGTCGTTTCGTATCTTATTGTTCTGACTCTGTAGATTGTCTGCTATGGTTTTTTTATCTCCTACACAGTGCTAGGCATTTTCTTAAGTACTCACTAGGATCCTTGTGGATTGAATAAAAATGCAAGATAATGTGGTAAGAACTAAATACATCTGCAATATATCTAATGCCATTACCAAATGAAGAACCAGGAAAAGACAGTGGTTAAAAATAGTTTTATACAACTCTTGCCATGAAGAAGTAGCACCAAAAAAAAAAAGCTTTCCTGCAATTAACTGAATCCTTTAGAAACTAATGGAGTGATCACGGCTCTAGGGAGGTTAGGGAAAATGTTGATTTGAACTTAATTTGAACAAGACTAGGGAAGCAAAAAATATCCTGCATTTATTCATGCTGTAGTATTTGTTCTGCCTAATGCTGAAAGTTGGAATACAGCATTGTCATCACCTGGGACAATCTACCAGTGACACACAGACCTGTTACTTTCCACTTCTAAGCGGGGATCAAGGACTGCTGATGGAAGTAAATGCTCCCTACTTCCATGACCCTCCAGCACTGCCTGGTGGCCCAGGCCAAGTTTTTAATGGACTCTGGGAGTTTGAAAGTGAGAGATTTTCTCTTCTGAGTGTTGAGGTTAATAGTGAAGGGGAAACAGCATGCCTGCAGAAAGAGAGTTGGATTTGCAATTGGAGCACAACAAATCAAAGCTGGGCAATTCCACTTACCACCTGGTGACCTTGGGTAAGTCACTTCTCCCTTATGGGCTTAGTTTCCTCCTGTCTAAATGCAGGCAGTGTTGTGTGGAGGCAATGTGCTAGCTTTGGAATTGAAAGGACCTATGTTCAAATCCTAGCTTTGCCACTTAGTAGGTATGTGACCTTGGGAAAATCCCTTAACCTCTCTGGGCCTTAGCTCCCTCTTCTACAAAATAAGGGGACTGGATTAGAAGATCTCTGAGGTACTTTTCAGGTGTAAACTAAGATCCTATGGTCCTATAAAGGAGTTGGGCGAGATGACCTCTAAGTTCCCTTACAGCTCTAAGTCAATCATCCTAAGAGTGAGTGAAGACTCAAACCACTCACTCAAACAACCCCCTCCCACATAATTTTCACTTTACCCATTTCAAATCAAGATCCATTTTACTTCCCATTCTCTTCCATCTGCTCCCGCAGATTACTCCCATCATCATCCCTATTCCCTTTCTGATTTTCAATCTCTTCTTATCTATTGGTTCCTACTTTGCTGCCTACAAATATACCAATTCCAGCACCTTTAAAACAAACAAACAAACAAACAAACAAACAAACAAACCTCAACCCTCATTTGATCTTACCATTAGCTATCACTATCATCCTATACTGGCTACAATCATAATGTTTGTTATCTTTTGCCTGAAACTCTCTCTTCTTTCAAACTTTTCTATTACTGCTGAGGGCACATCTGTTCTCCCATTTACTGAGACTCACAACTTTCCTGTCATCTTTGATTCTTCCTTCTCACTCACTCCACATGGCCAATCCTTTGCTAAACCTTATAATTTCTACTTTCATGTATTTTGCTCATTACCTTCTCTCTCTACTCAGATAGCCAGGCACTCATCACTTCTCACCTAGAAAAACCATCTACAACCAGTGGTTCCACTTACTCTCCTCTCTTCTAGAGGCAATCTGACCTCTAACTTTATCATTCAACTAAAACTGATGTCGAATCAATTCAAGCCAAAAAGCATTTATTAAGCTTCTATTATGTGTCAGGCACTGTGCTAAACTCTGGAGATACAAAGAAAGATAAAAGAAAGAAATAAACCAAAACCCAATACCTCCAGCAGTCTCTGCTTTCAAGGTAGAATGACAACAGATTATGATCAGATAAAGGAGTTTCAGAGTTCACGAAATGGAACATTTTTTCTGTGTGTAGCTGAAGTAGGGTGGAGGAGTAGGTAAAAATGAGTAAGCTGAGGAATCTGGCCGTTAGATTGTTTGAGGGAGTATCAGTATGTATGTTGGGGCCCTGAACTTGCTGAAGATGGTATAGGAGTGTCCTGGAGATTGATAGAAATAACCATCAGAATCTTAATTGGGTGATACCTACATATTGAAAGAACTTGAAAGGAAAAGTTACTGAATGTTTCTGGTAGGGGAGAGCCTCCAAATGGTGATGGGGAGCAAGAAATATTCCAGTTCTCCTACCATGGCCAATGAATTGAGTGGATGGAGTATGAGTAAAAGTATGATCAGTGCTAAAAAGGGTGGTTTGGTAATCTGTGTCATCAGGAGGGAGCCAGGTCTCAACAAGTGCATGAAAATGGAGGGAAAGAAGAAGGAAAAGGTTTAAGTTGAAAGCTAGTTTGTTACCAGTGGAGCAGGCATTCCAGAGAACACATTGGAAGGAGCAGGTAGCTTTAGCATGGGATGTTGTGGAAGTTGGTTTGAAGGGGGTGGGAGTAAGAGAGCAGTCAGTGGGGAGTGGAGAATAGGTTTTAAACAATGGGAGCCAGAATTACTGGGATGGGAAGAGTATGGGTAGTGGAGTGGGCCTACGTTTGTCATTGAGGAATGAATTCAGGTAGGTTATCATTGTCCCAGGAAGTCAGGCAGCTATGTTGTTAAAAGTTCCCCTCCTTCACTGTCTGTGGAATTGTAGAGGGGTAGGAGGCTAGGAGGCTCCCCTCCTAATCATTCCTGCTAACTGTGGATATTCTCCAAAGTTCTGTCCTGGGACTCTTTTTTGCTCTGGGTTATCTCACTTGTTGATCTCATCAGCTACTATGAGATCAATTATAACATCAGATGATTTCCAGATCTGTTGAGCCAGCCCCTGTTTCTTTCCTGAACTACGGTTACAGAGCTCCATTTGCCTCTTGGACATGAGCTGGATGTCCCACAGGCATCTTAGATTCAACCTGTTCAAAACAGAATTTATTATCTTTTCCCTGAAACTCTCCTCTCTTCCTTACTTTTCTATTGCTGTTGAGGGCACAATTATTCTCTCAATTATTGAGACTCACAACCTTCCTGTCATCTTTGATTCCTCCTTCTCACTCATTTCCACATAGGGAATACTTTGGTAAACCTTATAATTTCTACTTTCATATGTTTTGCTTATTACTTTCTCTCTACTCATATAGCCAGGCACTCATCACTTCTCACCTAGACTATTATAAGAGGATTCTAATTGGTTTCCCTGTCTCAAGTCTTTCCATACTCCAATCCATCTTCCATTCAGTTGCCAAAGTGATTTTCCTAAAGTGCAAGTCTGAGTATATCACCCTACTCATGAATTTTAATGGCTCCTTTTTGCCCTCAGGATCAGATAGAAGCTCCTCTGTTTGGCATTTAAAATTCTTTATAATTTGTCCCCTTCTTACTTTCCAGACTTCTTATATCTTGCTACTTTCCATGTACTTTATGATCCAGTGATATGGACCTACTTATAGTTCTTTAAACACAATACTCCATTTCCTGTCTCTGTGATTTTGTTGATTATCCCCCATGCCTGTAATGTTTTGTTCCCTGTCTCTTGGTTTCTCTGGCTTCCTTCAAGACAGCTCAAAGCATACCTTCTGAAGGTCTTTTCCTGCTTTCCCTTTCAGAATACTTCCCATCTGTATATATCCCATATCTTTATAGTCATTATCATATCTCTGTTCCATTAGAATGTATAGTCCTTGAAGGTATGGACTGTGATTTTTGCCTTTTTTTTTGTCTGGAACATAAATACTTATAAATAATTGTCACTGACTCATTGACAAAGTACATACTTAATAAATACTTGTTATACAAAGATCATGTATACTTAGGAGAAATCTGTGCTTGTTGGGGCAGATTTATAAGATATATGAAAAAAAAGCAAGATGCCAAAGGTATGGGGGAAAGATTTGGATCCTATTAATATTGTAAAAGGTGAGAGAACATAAACAATTACGAAGCTAACTGCCTACTTCCATTTTTCTAGCATTTTTTAAAAAATGAGAATAATTTAAACACAAATCAAAAGCATCCTTGATGAGGATATTAGTTGGAAATGAGTAGGCTTTTGCCTATGGTTAATCATACCTTCATTTTCACACAATTGACTGAAAAATGTAGAAGTTACAAGATCCTATTGTGCATATTGTGTGTTATTTTAAAGAAAGACATTTGATTCATTGGAGCAAAACATGCCTTAAAGACTTTCTTTCAACAGGGTATCTCCCTGCAAAGTGCCTTCCTCCCCTACTTCAAGATTATTTGAGATTTTTTTGTATGTTATTTTTTTTGATTTTATTAATTTATTTTGATTTATCAACAATGACTTCCATATGCTTTTGAGTTGAAAATTTTTCTCCCCCTTCCTCCCCCCGACCCTCCCTAAGGCAGCATACAATCTGATATAGGCTTTACATTTACATTCCTATTAAACATACTTTCTTATTAGTGAAGTCGTAAGTAAAAATTAAAACCAATAGGAGGAACTATCAGAAAGATGAAACAAAACTCAACAAAAGGTAAAAATAAGTGATAGCGATTTGACTTCCATAGTTCTTTCTTTGGATGTGGACAGCATTTTCCATTCCGACACCTCTGGAGATGTCTTAGATCCTTGTAATGCTGAGAAGGGTTCAGTTTAACAATATTAGTCATCACATAACGTGGCTGTTATTTGTACAAAGTCCTCTTGGTTCTGCTCACTTCACTCAGCATCAGACCATATAAGTCTTCCCAGGTTTTTCTGAAGTGAGCCTGTTCATCATTTCATATAGCACAATAGTATTCCATTACATTCATATACCAGGTAGAGGAAAAACTGGGAAAAGAAATGAGAATGATGTAAGAAAATAATGAAAAAAGAGTCAAGAGCTTGGCAAAGGAGGCACAAAAAATACTGAAGAAAATAACACAGAACAGGCCAAATGGTAAAAGAGGCACAAAAATCCACTGAAGAAAAGAATGCCTTAAAAGTAGAATTGGTCAAATGGAAAGGAGGTACAAAAGCTTACTGAAGAAAATAATTATTTCAAAAATAGAATAGGCAAGTAGAAGCTAATGACTCCATGAGACATCAAGAAACAATAAAGCAAAATTTTAAAAAATGATAAAATAGAAGAAAACATGAAATGTCTCATTGGAAAAACAACTGACTTGGAAAATAAATCCAGGAGAGATCATTTAAGAATTATTGAACTACCTGAAAACAATGATTAAAAAAAAAAGAGTCTAGACATAATCTTTCAAGAAATTATCACGGAAAACTGCCCTGACATTCTAGAACCAGAGGGTAAAACAGAAATTGAAAAAAACCACCAATCACCCCCTGAAGGAGATCCCAAAATGAAAAATCCTAGAAAGTACTATAGCCAAATTCCAGAGCTTTTAGGTCAAGGAGAAAATATTGTAAGCAGCCAGAAAGAAACAATTCAAATATTGTGGAGGGACAGTCAGGATGACACAAGATTTAACAGCTTCTACATTAAAGAATCAGATGTCTTAGAATATGATATTACTGAGGGCAAAGGAGCTAGCAATACAACCAAGAATCACCTACCCAGCAAAACTGAGTATAATCCTTCAAGGGGAAAATAGATATTCAATGAAATAGAGGACTTTCAAGCACTCCTGATGAAAAGACTAGAGCTGAATAGAAATTTTGATTTTCAAATACAAGACTCAAGAGAAGCATAAAAGGGTAAACAGAAAAAAGAAATCATAAGGGTATCAATAAAGTTAAACTGCTTATATTCCTACATGGGAAAATGACACATGTAACTCCTAAGAACTTCCTCATTATTAGGGCAATTAGAAGGAGTATACATAGATGGAGGATGTGGATGTGAGTTGAATATGATGGGATGACACCTAAAAAAAATAAAGAATAAGAAAGAGGAATGCACTTGGAGATGGGGAAAGAGAGGGGTAGAATGGGTTAAATTATCTCATATGAAAGGGGCACAAAAAAGTTTTTAGAGTGGAGGAAAAGATAGGAGATGTGTGTGTTGGGGGGGAGAGAGCTTGAACTTTACTCTCATTGGAATTGGCTGAAAGAGAGAATAATATGCACACTCAATTAGGTATAGAAATCTATTTTACCCTATAGGAAAGTAGGAGGGAAAAGGGGATAAAAGAAGGGGGGATTATAGAAGGGAGGGCAGATTGGGGAGGCTGTAGTCAGAAGCAAAACACTTTTGTGGATGGAGAGGGTGAAAGGAGAGAGAGTAGGATAAACAGGGAGGAAAATAGGATGGAGGGAAATTCATACAAATCATAAGTATAAAAACATTTTTAAAAGTTTCTCTGATAAAGGCCTCATTTCTCAAGTATATAGGGAACTGAATCATTTATAAGAATACAAGTCATTCTCCAATTGATAAATGGCCAAAGGATATGAACAAGCAATTTTCAAATGAAGTAATCAAAGCTATCTATAGTCACATGAAAAAAAGTGCTGTAAACCACTATTGATTAGACAACTGCAAATTAAGACAACTTTGAATATCACCTTACACCTAGCAGATTAGCTAATATGACAGAAAATAAAAACAACAAATGTTGGAGAGGATTTGGGAAAATTGGGACACTCACATACTGTTGGTTGAATTTGAACTGATCCAACCATTCTGGAGAGCAATTTGGAACTATGCCCAAAGGGCCGTAAAAATGTGCATACTTTTTGACCTAGCAATGCTACTACCATTTCTATATCCACAAAAGATAAAAAACAAAAAGAAAAAGGACACACATATACATGTGTGTGTATATATGTACATATCTGTATCTATATAATTATCTACATAGTCTTTTGATTAGCTAGGTATCTGGTGTTATATATATAAAAATATATGTGTAATATACATATATAGTATTTGAATATATATATATATATTCTCTGTGTGTGTGTGTATATATATGTGTGTATGTTTATATACATATACATATATCTATATATGATAAGTACTCCAAATGGATGATGAGTTAGACTTGAATTAAACAGGAATAGGAGATTGCAAAGCCCCAAACCTCTATTATTTTATTACCAGTTTTCTCCTGGTGGTGCTGTATGGCTGCTGGTCATAGACCACTGCAGTGTCTGAAGAACTAAAATTTAGTATCACTCAGAGGGTAATGGAAACATGCATGGTGGTTGTAAGTAGGCTATAACACATAACAAATAAGGAGCTATGAAGGAAGGAAATAAGCATTTATGTAGTACCTGCTATGTGCTAGGCACTGTGCTAGGAACTTTACAAATATTATCTTGTTTGATCCTTACAACAATCCTGGGAGGTAAGTGCTGTTATTATTCCCATTTTACAGTTGAGAAACTGAGGTAGTCAGAAGAAAATGACTAGCTGAAGGTCATCCAGCTAGTAAGTATTTGAAGTATTATTTGAACTCAGGTCTTCCTGGCTTCAGGCCCTGAGCTCTGAGCTGTTTCTATTTAAAAAAAATTGTATAAATACTGTCATCAAAAAATGTAAAGTTGAAAAAGAAGATGAGCTGGTCATATTTGTATCTTCCCAATTTCAGGAGAAAGCAAGTGAGGCCCCTAACATCTAGGGGGTACTACTTAAGGTTAAATCATGGAAAGAAATAAAGAATCTTATATAAAGGACAGAAATAATTGGGGTGCTATCTGCATCATGGGAAAGAATTCACAAATTGATGAGATCATAGAACAATCTGAGTATTTGAATTAATAGAGTATAGCCAGCTTCTTAAAGGAAAGGACTATGATTTGTATTTTATATTCTAAATAGTATGCAAAGCACTGTGTCCCATTTAGTAAATGCTTCTTAGATTTTTGATACAAAGACAAAAACAAAATGTTTACTGCCCCTGAGGAGCTTGTATTCTATTGAAAGATAATATATAAAAGATATGTAAATAGAGCATATTGTAAAATGTAAATGGGATAGCTGTATAGTTCAGTGGATAGAGTACTGGGACTAGAGGCAGGAAGACTTATCTTCCTGAGTTGAAATCCAGCCTCAGACACTTATCAGTTATGTGATCCTGGGCAAGTCACTTAACCCTGTTTGCCGCAGTTTCCTCATATGTAAAATGAGCTGGAGAAGGAAATGGCAAACCACTCAAATATCCAAAGGGGGTCACAAAGAGTCGCACATGATTGAAAACAACTGAACAACAACAACAGAGTAATTTAGGGGGTACTAACACCTGAGAGTATCAGGAAATGCCTTATGTTGGAGGTAACACCTGACCTGAGTCTTGAAAGGACCTGACCTGGAAATTCCAGGTGGAAGAAGTGAGGAAGGAAAACACGCTGGGAAAGGGGGATAGCTTGTAAAAAGAAACAGAAGCAGGAGATATAATGCCCTCAAACAGGTCTGTTTGGGTGGAATGTGGAAGATAAAAGGAGTTGTGGTTGGAGATGTCTGATAAGGTAGACCTGGAACCAGATTGTGAAAGGCTTTAAATGCCAAACAAAGGAGTTTCTATTTGATTATTAAACCAGGAGGGAGCCAGGAAAGCTTCTGGAGCAAGAGAGGACCACATGTTTACTTTCTTGGTTCTAATAAGATTGAACTTCTTTTAATGTGATTGCTGTTCTTTACTTGAAGTTGTGGAAGCATTTTTTCTGAACAGCACAACCAAAGAATATTTGGAAGTAGAACTTTGCCCATAAGTTCCCTTTTTGCCATGTTTTCATTGTGTTTTAGCTATTCTAGGCAAGCTTTCCAAGTAGTTTTCAAAAATCATTAGACTCCAAAAATTTCTACTTGTACAAAATTTGCATCACTAATATACATATTTATTAATGTTACCTTAACCCTCCAGTGAGGTAAGAAACTAATGCATTTACTTGTATTAAAACATGATGTTAACTTTGAAATGCTAATTGGCGTGGAAATTAGACAAATGGGTAAAGGAGTGACCTTCTGAGTATAATGAATTTCTTTAGGGCTTAACCATGGTGTGATTTTTATTAGCTCTGGGTTGATTTCATTAGACTCCTCCTACATTGGTTAAGTACCCCTTTTTATGATGCCCAGCTCTATAGATACAGTACAGCTATCACAACAACAAATTTGGTTAAAGGAACTCAGGAACTGAAATAAAAGAGAAACAAAATAATTCTCAATAGGACTCCTGTTTCCTGGGAAAGAGCTCTGTTTTTGAAATCAGAGGACCTGAGTTCAGATCCTGCCTCTGCTACTTGCTAGCTTTGTGACTGATAAATCACTTCACTTATCTGGGTTTTATTTTTTTCATCTATGAAATGATAGCATTGGACAAAATGACCTCCAAATTTCCATTTAACTCTACAGATAGAGTTTTATGATAATAAGGTTTTTTGTTTGAGGAAGCAACAAAGTTTTGGAGCAAATTAGTTCAAGCATAGAAATTTCTTGATGAGTAGGCCAGCTCTGACCTAGAAAACTTATATTTCAAAGTGATTCTTGCAAGAAGAAAGGCCTCCTGATCCACTGTCGGTGGGCCACAGCTAGTCAGGTTCTCATCTTGAGCTTACTCTTTTATAGGCAAACACTATAAACAGTGCAACAAAGTGCTGAGCTAACAATTAATATACAGAAATGTTTCAGGGAGATTTAGAATGTTAGTGAAATGGATATTTCTTTGAATGCTAATTTTAGATCATTCAATGTAATGCTATGACTTGAAATGGAAGTCAAGTTAAGCATACCAAACATGAAAATGCCCTTTTCTCCTTTGGTGTTAGTTTAGACCCTGATCACTTCTTGCATAGATTATTGACAGTAACCTCCTGACTGATCTCACTGAGTCATGCCCTCTACTCTAGTCCATTCTTTTACTTTGCTCTTAAAGTAATTTTCCTTAATTGTAAGTCTGACCATTAGACTGTTACTTCCTTGAGATCAGAGATCACAGTGCCTGACACAAAGTAAATGCTTAATAAATGTTTATTGACTGGATGATTTCCTGACTCAATCAAACCTCGTGGCTTCCTATTGCCTCTAAGATAAAACACAAATTCCTCTGCTTAATTTTTAGAGCCCTACAAAATCTAATCCTAACGTATCTCTCTAGCTTCATTGGACGTGCTTCTCCCTCCCACACTTTGCAATCCAGTCAAACTTGCCTTCTCTCTGTTCTTCACACACACACAACTCTCTGTTTCCCATCTCTGTGCCTTTTGCGCTGTATATCCCACATGCCTCCTTCCTCTCCTCTGCTTCACGGAGTCCTTTTCTTCTTTTAAGATACAGCTTAAGCACCATCTTTGACATAAAGTCTTTCCTGAAATCCCCTGTTCTTAGTGCCCACCTTTCAAAACACCATGCACTGACGTAATATATATTCTATAATTATTTATTAATGTACATATTGTGTGTCCCAATGGTATATCAACTCCTTGATGGGAGGGATTGTTTTGGTCTTGGTTGTTATATCTCCAGTTTCTACCACAGTCCCTACATGGTAAATACTGAAAAAATGCTTACTGATTGAATGATTAATGTAGGGTTTTAGTGAAATGGGTCTTTTTGGATGCCAATCTTAGATTGTTAAATGCAATATTGCTATTTAAAAGATACTTTTCTAGATTGATCAACTGGAGCTACTGCAAACAACTTGAAGATTCAGAGATGGATTTTTTTTTTCAGGTACAAAGTTATCTGCAGATACATCCACCACTCACTTGTGGATTTTCTTTCTTGGGCCATGTTCATTTCTTCATTCCTTTCAGAGTTTCCTGTATTTTTCTTAGAACTAGCAATTCAGTGGGATAAAACAATAAGTTGGTGATAAATCACCAAAGAATATTATTGTAAATGCTTCTTCAACAAACATTTATTTTCAATTCTGCAAGCATTTAAGTTCCTACTATTTACCAGGCAATACTAGACAATATGTGCTGGATACAGTCAACCCGAGTAGGGGTAAACCCTCTTGGAAGTAGCCCTCCTTCCTGTTCTAAATCCTTAGCTTGCCACTAGGTTCCTTGATTTCTTTCATTTTATTGTCCACCAAGTGGAAGAAATGACAAAGGGAGCCACCATGCAATTTTTCCACCTCGTCATTTCTAAATTTATAGAAATACTTTATCATTTGAAAGGTAGATAATTTAACTTCTTCACAAACATCCTATGGCATGATTCTTGGTACTTTACTTAAACAAAATTTCGAAAAAAAGAAAGAGATGAAGTAAGCCTAAGCAAAAAGACTATGTAAGTGCTTTGCAGTTATCTCCAAGCACCCTTGAGGGGAAACAAACAAACAGCAATCTGCTGATCTCAAAGCAATTATTTTGGGCATGAATGCTTAAACCAAACTTTCATTTGCTAAGATAGTTGCTTTAACTAAATGAAGTCAGAAGCATTCATTATTTATTTCCCAAATCTGTACTGGATTTTAGATTCAAATCTGGAGAATGATTGTGGTATCATCACTTTAGAGCTAGAAGGAAATTCAAGGACCAATAGATAAATCCTCTCGTTTTTGAGATGAAGAAATCAAAGCCTAAGGAGGTTTGATGATTTGACTCCAGTTATATGGGTGGTATACAGAAATGGATTTGAACCCTGGTCCTCTGACTCTAGAGACAAAGTTCTTTCTAGAGCCTGTTGAGATTGAATAGAAGTTTGTCTAATTTTGGTTCATAAAATACCACTGGGACATCTAGAAGCCCCAGGATAAGGTGAAACTGAAGGCTTTCCTATCTCCAACTATATTACTACTAATTATTGAAGGCTGATTATTGTGTCTGTGAATTATCTTTATGTCTCCCTATTTCTTTTACTTCTGCCTTTCTGATTCTTGGGCATATACCCGGGCAAGTGAAGAGAATGGAAGTAAAATTTGTATGTTTCATTTTGGCACTGATCAGTGTAGAGGGTAGAGGTTTAAACTTTGTGTTAGTGTGCCATGTTTTAATGATTTCTGGATTAAGGATATTCATTTTGTTTATGAAAACAGAGAAACAAGAATTTGTTATATTGGCTTTTTTTTCTTTTTTTTTGCAAGGCAATTGGGGTTAAGTGACTTGCCCAGGGTCACACCACTAGGAAGTGTCAAGTGTCTGAGGTTGGATTTGAACTCAGGTCTTCCTGACTTCAGGGTGATGCTCTGTCTAGCACACCATCTACTTGCCCTTACTATATTGGCTTTATTAGACTTTGTGCATCAGTTTTTCTTTGAATTCTAAAGGTACGCTTTACTGAAAAGACTCTACAGCATTTACTGCCAATCTAAATGTCTTATTTATATTTTGTATCTAGGTGATAAATTTCCAAATCTGAGTCATTAGTACTTTTAATAATATTAACTTTATATTCCTAAGGCAAAGATCTGAAGTTTAACCTTATCTATGACGGCTACAGGATTATTTTACAAAGTTTATCTTTGTGTGTTAGAAAAAAAACCCATTCTTTTTGGAACTAGATAGATATTGTTTGACGTGCCTCCTACTTCTTGGAATAAGTCATCTAAATGATAGAATACACAGAATCAGGTTTGTGTAAAACTAGATAGTAATTTCTGTAAATGCTAGCTCTATTCTGCTCTTTACATGCATCAGTTACATACAACAATTAATAAATGCTCCATTGTAAATTTAATTTTTTATCAGTCTAATTGAAATGATTTTAGGCTTAGTAATAAATGTGGGGAAAGTTTTTACCTCAAAAATAGGGATGAAAATATGCTAATAATAGCATCTATTGCACATTGCACATTTTAAAATATATATTCCATTACGGGTCTAAGTCCATAGTGGAGGATCCTGATAGATGCTTTCAAAGGATCATAGATCTAATCCAACCCTTTCACATTAAAGATGAAGGAATTGAGCCCTAGAAAGGTGAAGAGACTTGCCCAAAGTCTCACAGATAGTAATTGGCAGAGCCGGGATTCAAATCTAGATCCTCCGGTTCCAAATCTGGTGCTCTTTTCACTGTACCATACTTTTTGGCTTAGATTTCTGCCTAGCCATTATGGTTCCTGGCATGGGAAATGGGAAAATATAACAACAAATAAATCAATTGAAGAAATCTAAAATCACGGTCAGTGGAGACGAAATGGGGCATCTAGGTAGTCCAGTGGGTAGAGTGCTGGGCCTAGGCCAGGAGGACTCATCTTCATGTGTTCAAATCGGGCCTCAAACACTTACTAGCTGTGTCTGACCATTGAGTAAGTCACTTAACCGTATTTGCCTCATCTGTAAAATGAGCTGGAGAGGGAAATGGCAAACTACTCCATTAACTTTGCCAAGAAAACTCAAAATGGGGTCATGAAGAGTAGAACACAACTGAAAAAACTGAACAACAACAAAGGGGATGAAATGGAATGGAAGCATTTCCATACTATTTTTAGAAATTAAGTTAGTTTATATTGCTGATATTTGACATTATAAGTGCCATTGTCTTTTGAACAAATTACAGGATCATAAAACAGCTGACACTTATATAATGCTTTAAAGTTCACAAAGTGTTTTATATACATGATTTCACTCAAGTCTCACAATAACCCTATAGTATTATTTATGTGGTATTATTATAGTATTATGAACTCCATTTTACAGATGGAGAAATTAAGATTCAGAGACTCAGCACTTAGCATAGTGCCTGGCATATAGTAAGGTACTTAATAAATACTTATTGACTAACTGATGTTAAATGACTTGCCCACTCAAATAGTGTCAAAGGCAGGATTCAAACCCAATTCTACCCACATCATTTCATAAGTGAACTCATGCTCTGACATGTGAATTTTTCCTCCTCTAATTAAAAAAAAACCCAACAACAATAATTTCATTTTGAAGAATGTAATGTAATGCCACATTGTATGGAATGTTATTTCTGTTAAGATACTTAGTTGAGGAAGTTTTGTTGCTGATTTTGCAAATAGCTATTAGACAAGTTGGAAGAGCATACTTGATGCTGACATTGGCTGAAATGAACATATATTCTGTTGTCTAAATCAGGGAAATTGTGGGCTGGGTACATGTTGATTCACTTATGTCTTTCTAAGTGCTCTGTAAGTGGACTTATTAGCAATTTATGTACAGTGGGCTGAGCATTATTAAAACAAATCCAAACAGCTGGTCCTTAGATTAATTCTTCCTACATTATAATTAGCTTCTGACAGAGTCGAAAAGTTTAGATGAAGTTTAGATCTAAACTTCCCTTTAATTTAAGGCCTCTTAATTTGAGTTGATATCAGGACAGAGGCCAATGGGAATAAGCCAGAACACTGCTTTCATTAAATGTGAATAACTTTTCCATCTGTCTTCAACTATCAACAAAAACTAGGACCAATCAACATGGTAGTCTTTCCAGAATGAGCTACTGGCAAACCATGAATGATACTAGAAAAGAACTTAAATTCTTTAAACTTTTAAAGGAAGCAATCTGTGTTACTCATCCCATTTAGTTTTATTTTTAAGTGCTTACCTCTGGCCTCCACCCAGTGAGCATTGCCTTATAACAAAGAAAAGCTGTTTAAGAAAACCAACTGACAGTGATCTCGTCCAATGATACATGTGCACCCTTTTATCACCTACCTATCCAAGGAAAGCAGGGAGGTGCCTTTCCTAACCTCTCTAAAGTCAAGATTGGTCATTACTATCATACATCATTCAAGACATCCCATTTGGCTAGTATAATCAATAGTCAAAAGTCAATAAACATTTATTATGTGCTAGGCACTGTGCTAAGTGCTGGCGATTTGTATAAATACAAATAAAAACGACAGTGCCTCCCCTTATTTTCTCACTCTGTTTTCTCTTTTGGTTTGCCTAGAATTGCACAGCGTTTAGTCCTCTTGCTTTCCAGTGGTGATGCTTTTGCAGTAAGTCCTATTTGAAAAGTAATATCACCTATTAATGCTTCAATTTGACCATTAACATATAAGGATATTTTGCAATTACTGTACTTCTGACAATTCAGCTTCACTCTTTTCAGATTTTCAAAACAATGTTTTATTTTTCTCCACGAAAAGAAAAGTATTTCTCAAATTTATATACTTCTTTCCATCCCTACTACCTCCACTCTAGTTCAGGCTAAAAAGACAACTGGTAATATCTATATTTGGAACAAGTAGCATAAAATATTCTCTCAATTCCCTTGGGCAAGGGATAATGTAGCAGAAACTCCGGGACACTGCAAAGCCACCAAAGGGGAAGCCACTGCCAGGCAGCACAGTGAATAGAGTGCCCAGCCTGAAGTCAGGAAGACTCATCTTTGTATCTCGCCTCAGACACTTACTAGCTGTGTGACCCCTGGGCTAGTCACTTGACACTGTTTGCCTCATCTGTAAAATGAACTGGAGAAGGAAATGGCAAACCACTCCGGTATCTTTGCCAAGAAAACCCAAAATGGGGTCATGAAGAGTTGAACACAACTGAACAACAGCTCTGAATTTGGAGGTGATAAGCAAATCAAGGTAGTTCCAGGCATGAGCTTTCACTAGCTAGTCTCTGTGTGTGGAATTCTCTCCTTTCCTGTTTCTACTTTCTGGCTTCCTTGGCTTCTCAGATAAAATCTCACCTTCTCTAAAGACTTTCCTGGTCCTCTTTAATGCTGGTGCCTTCCCTCTGTGATTATCTTCAATTTATCCTATTTTTGGTGTGTAGTTGTTAACATGTTGTCTCTCCCATTAGATTGTGAGCTTCTTAAGAGCAGAGACTGTTTTTGTCTTTGCATCCCTAGCACTTAGAACAGTGTCTAGCCCTGGACTTGACTTGACCATTATTGTTTCTGTGATGTTGCCAAGTTGTTAACCACTCCATCTCTGATACTCCTCTATACCAATGAAATTACAGGTCCGGTTGCTATCCCCACCATATGTAATGTGGATTAGAGTGAGGAAGAGGCTGGAGTGAGGCAGAGAAGAGAAGGCTATTATACTAAACCAAGCAAGATTATTATTCTTTCTGAGGACAGTCATAATGTAGAGGCAGTAGGAATGTAAAAGATAGGATGGATGAAAGAAGTCAAAGTGAGAGGGTCTGGCAACTAGCTCATATCAGTAGAAATAGAAATTCTGAGAAAAGGATTTTAGAAGCAAAAATAACTCTCTGGCAAATGGAGAATAACTGAATTCAGAGTAGGAATGGAAGGGAAAGCTAGATTCATCAGTGATTGTTATAAGTGATTCACAAGAGCCTTAAGTAAGTCTTTGGCAGACCTTTTCTGTGAAATACTGGGGAAAGGAGAATGATAAAGTACATGACAGGAGGGCTATTGACTGTTTTGTTTAAGGAGGTAGAAAGTAGGGACTCTGAGAATCATGGGCTCTTAACGCTATTGAACTCAGCCTTTAAAGTATTCGTAGGCACTTGATTGCAAGGTAGCTGGCAGGATGCTTCAGAAGACCCCAAACTAGGCAATCAAAAGGAGAAAGATAGCAGACTATCAGTAACCTTAAGAGAAATAGTGAAACACATTAACGGGGTTAGATCTTTCATTGACTTATCTAACAAACCTGAGCCAAGAGAAGGCTTGTGATACAATGGGGCGAGGTGAGCTGCTTTAAATAATTACATTTGCCATTTAAATTTATGAAGGCATAAGGATATCATAGCTGAATGTAACTAGGATTCTGAAAGTGAATAGGTAGAAATGAAAAGAAAGTCACCTGATAAATAAGGCTAAAAAAGGATAACTGATTTAAAAGTACAAGTGGCACATGGAATGTGAATTTCTTCATACTTAATATTTCAAAACGTCATCAATAGATTTGTGATCTCATCCGTGTGGATATTCCCTTCAATAGTGCGTCTCCTGCCCATTCGAAGTAACTCCTATCCATGTCCTACAATAATAAATATTCCATATCAGGGGCTAGAAGGGTGCACCTGACAGGCTGGGGGCCTTCCTCTCTGTCTCAACATTATGTGGAGGTCAGCCCCCACTTCATTCTCCATTGTTCATCAATTTGATATCTTTTGTGCCTGTTTTTTTTTCTGTTTGTAATCAATCATTTGGAATGTACTATAACTGATGTATGTATCTTGTATCTCTGTTGACTTTTGGGTGATCTGAAATCTTGATTTTAACAAAATCCTTGTGCAGCAGAAGTTACACATCTTATTGTCATTTTACAGATAAGAAAACTGAAGTTCAGAGGCCATGACTTGCACATGGGCCCTCAGTAAATTTTGGAGGGTTCTTTTGTTTCAAATTTAGCATTCTATTCATTCAGCCTCTCTTTTAAAGTTTGAAAAGCATCATGTATGTCGATTATCTCATTATATTATCACAGAAAGCCTGTGAGGTACTTCCTACAGGTATTATTATGCCTATTTTATAGAATTGGAAACTGAGGCTTAAATAAATACAGTGACTTGCCTGTGATCACATAGCTAGTAAGTTTTAGAGTCTGGAATTGCTATGATATTTTCTTTCCAAAGATTTTAAAGTACTTTTTCACATAAGCTTGGATGCCATTTTCTTCAGAAGTAGCATGCTATAAAGGCAGCTTGGTAGAACAGGAGCATTTTAAACCTGCAGTTAATAAAATGTAGGTTCAAATCCTATTTCTAACAGTTAGTAGTGTGTAAGCATGAGCAAATCATTTAACCTGAGTCTCAGTTTTTACATCTGTAAAAATGGAGATAATAATACCTGTAGTATCTACTTCATTGCTCAAATAGAAGATAACTATGTAAAACATGCAAACTTTGAAGTACTATGTACATAGAAGTTATAATTATTATTTCAAGCAGGGAAAAGGGTAGCCTATTTCACTTCTGTCGTTTCTTATGGTGTAATAATATTCCATTACATTCCTATGCCACAACTTGTTTAGCCATTCTCCAATTGAGGAGCACCCTCTTCATTTCTGTTGTTGTTTTTTTTTTGTACAATAAAAGAGCTGCTGTACATACATGTACACAAATATATGTATATATGTACATTCTCCCACAGCCCTTTGATTTCTTTGGGGTATAGATCTACTAGTGGTATTATTGTTTCAAGTGATTTTTTTTTGGTCATATTTTTAAATTGCTTCCCAGAATGGCTTCTCCAGGTCTTTTCACATGAGCTATCTAGTCACAGCTCCCTACCTTGAGTCTGAGTAGAGGGCTTTATAGTTTTCCCTGTTACATTTTATCTTATGAAATTTGGCCCAATGTCAAGATCTTTTGGAATTTTAATCTTCTCATTCAATGTATTAGTTTTCCCTCCAAGGTTTGAGCCATTTGCACATTTGAAGAGCGTGCCATGTAAGCTTTTATTCAAGTTATTGACAAAAATCTCAAATAGAACAAGGCCTAGCACAGAGCCCTGGGGTATCCTACTGAAGTTCTCCCTCAAGGTTAATATTGATCCATCACCATTCTTTAGGTCTAGTCATTCAATCAGCTCCTATTCAATCCCTCTACCTATCCAAACCATCCCCAATAGTGATGATGATAGAAACTCATATAGACCTTTAATAATTAAAAAAAGCATACACATATCTGACTTTTTTACTGTAATGTAGGAATCAGATCACAGCATTATACGATCATAATAATCATCATAAAAATGGACATTTATATAGTCCTTTAAGGCCTTCAGAGGGCTCTGCATTTACACTTTAAGCTTTATTAAAGCTAAACTGCACTAAGATTTTGGGGACACCCTCTATTAGTGCATCTGAACTTCACGATAAACCCTGGAGATAGGCATTTTGGGTATTATTATCCCCATTATTATTCCTATTTTATGGATGATAAAATAGACTCAGAGTGGTTAAGGTATTTACCCATGATCACACAACTGATGTATCTGAATCAGGATTTGAAACCAAGCCATGAGTTGTCCTGTCATTTCCTTTTATACTTTTTTTTTGTGTGAGGCAAATGGAGTTAAGTGACTTGCCCAAAGTCACACAGCTGGGAAGTGTTATGTGTCTGAGGCCATATTTGAATTTAGGTCCTCCTGACTCCAGGGCCGGTGCTCTATCCACTGTGCCACCTAGCTGCCCTTTCCTGTTATACTTCTTACTAAATTTCTATCAATTGTGTTTTAAGAGTCACACGTACAAACAGCTAAAGTTTAAATGCAGGGTACAGTGATTTAGGAAGATAATTAACTTTCTTTCCCCACTTTCACCCTCACCCTTAAGTGAAAACAATGTGTCATACCTAAAATCTTAATTAGAGTAGAAAAATCAGGGTTTTGCCCCAAGTTTGCAAAGAGTCCACTGACAGTTCTTCAGCAGGTAGACATAACTGAGTCTAGCACCTGCTTACCAAGAATAAAGAATTAAAACCAGTAAATTCCTCCTTGACCTGGCCCTACCCTGGTTCCTCCCCCCAGTAGTAGCTTTGTGGAGTGGAAAAGTCTCTTCACTAAGAGGGAGTGGTAGAAAAATTCCCTGGGTTCCTCTAGATACCTATCTCCAAGGTAGGTCTTTCTCTGAGATCTTCCCCACTACCGAGTGAATTTGCCTCAAACAGTTTTGGAATTTTATGCTTACTCCAGGCACTCTTATGGCCATACTCTTAAAAAAAAGTAAAGTCAATAGATGTGCATATCATGCCTTACTGACACATTTGCACATTGCCAATCTTTGCTTTCTTTCTCCCCCTCCCCATTTTTCATGGTGGTAATTAAGGATTGTAAATTTCACTTTATCATTTGTGTTGGGACGAGTAGCATAAATCATTGTAATGGCGCGTTTATTTCAGTAATGCCAGCATGCCTGCAAATCACTTGTAAAGTGGTTCCATGGGTGTACTGCTCTCCAATTAATCAGAAACCCACGGGCATACATTTCCTGGGCTTCTGTCAAAGCCTTCGTTACAGTAAGTAAAAAAGGCTGTTGCTGACCTTTCTCCGTTTTTATTTATCATTGGT